TGCACTCTCTAGATGTCTTGCCATAAATACCAATCTTAGTACACTACGACAACTACATATTAAACTATGCCACCCAGGAATAACACAATTGAACCACTACTGCAAGACACGGAATTTACCCTACACTATCGGTGAAATAAGAGACATAATTTCTGACTGTCAGGTATGCTGTGAGCTCAAAATTAAGTTTTTTCAACCCCCGCATGGTCAACTGATCTCCTCTACTAGACCATGGGAAAGACTCGCTATGGATTTTGTTTGCCTTCTTCCCACAAAAACAGCGAACATATACCTTTTAGTCATATTGATGAGTATTCCAGATACACATTTGCATTCCCTTGCCCCCAAATCACCTCTGATATAGCAATAAAACATCTTTTAGAAATATTTTCTCTCTTTGGCACCCCTGCCTGCATTCACTCCAATCGTGTTACTCTGTTTGAAGGAAGAAAACTAAGAAACTTTCTTATAGGCAACAGTGTCAGCAAGGCATGAACAACACCATATCGACCACAAGGAAACTGGCAATATGAAAGACTAAACTTTACAATCATGAAAACAATAAACTTAGCTTTACAAAGTTTTGAACTAGAAATAACTGACTGGAAACTGGCACTCCCTGCATCTCTATCCTCTATTCGATCCCTACTATGCACTTCAACAAATTCTAGTCCAATGATATTATATATATACACAATGATATACACACACACACACACACATATATATATATGTCTGTGCGTGTGTGTGTGTGTGTGTGTGTGTGTATATATATATATATATATATATATATATATATATATATATATACATATATATATGTATATATATATATATATATATATATACATATATATATGTATATATGTATATATATATATATATATATATATATATATATATATATATATATATATATATATATATATATATATATACTAGGGGTGTTCAAAAAAAAAATTTTCAAAACGCGAATACACAATAAGCCAAATTTGGGGCAAATATAAAAAAAATACGATAAAAAAAAAATTCAAAAATATTGACATTTACCTTGTGCTCAAGCGGCAAAATACCACGAAAAATGCCCCAAATAGTTCCCAAGTAATTTGGCTTTGAGCGCTAGATAAATCTCAATATTTTGTAATTTTTTTTTTTTATATTTTGCTCATAATGGTCCAAGCTTTTTTTTTAGTTTGTTGTGTCTCCTGTTTTTTTCATAATTATTGTTTAAATTAAAAAAAGATTTTGCAAAAAAATACGCAAAAAAAATAGTTTTAACGCGCATTTAACAAAAGAAATAAACTTTTACTTAATGTTAAAAGCGTGAAAACACTTTAGTGCTATTTAAAATTTATTTTTGTTTGCTTTGTTTTGCTTCACTGCATTTTTCTATTGCTAATTTTTCTTAAATGATAAACATTTTAAAAAGTCATAAAAAGAAAAAACTGACGACAGTAAATAGTGTTGAAGATAATCTAAAAATATTGTTAATTTTTAAAAAAAAAATGTACCGGATGTCGTCTTTAGAATTGAAAAAGCAACAAGACTTCAGATAAGAACTGGGGAAAATCTTTTGGGCAGGAATACCTGACTTACAAAGCTGGATAAAAAAGGACAAAAATAGATAGATCCAACCTAGATAAGAAAGAGGACCTAGAATTTATATACAATCAAGAACATGACAGAAAGTTATTTCTAGGGCCAGAAGATAAGAAATACAGGAAGAAGGTAATTCATTTAATGACCTTTTTTTCCTGAATTTAAAAACTACCTTTTGCTACTTTTTTATTATTGAGCTTTATTTTTGCTTTAATACTTTTTACATTATCATTTTTTTTAATTTTACAAAATTTTGATAAAGAAATTTAAAAAGAATAATATCAAATAATAATAATAACAATAATAATAATAATAATAATAATAATAATAATAATAATAATAATAATAACAATAATATTAATAATGGTGCATGTTGTTTAGATTTTAGAGAATACAAGAAAAAGAAATTTATCTAAAAAAGATGCTGCAAAATTAGTGGAAGTAAGGAATTCAGAGTTGGAATTTAGTCCAACACAAGACCCAGGCAAAGATTCATCGTTTGATTCAGATTATGACCCAGGATATTGGCGTTCTTCAGAGTCTAATAGCATAATAAGAGCTGAGATTCCAAAAGATATTCTTTCTGGTAATGCTGCCCTAATAGCTACAGTTACTGATATTTCTCCCAATGTTTTGACAAAAGTTACGGCTGCAATCCTTGATAGTTGTAGTGTTGATCTTACAAATGTAAGTTGCAGCAGTTTGACAGCATCTAGAAAAATGAAACAAACAGCTCAAGAAATGGCAGCTATTGCTAAAGAAGATGTCATACTTAGCATCCAAGCATCTCCCTACCCATGCATTGTTCATTTTGATGGAAAAACACTTTTTGAAACCAATAATGGAAAAAAACTTAAGAATGACAGACTAGCTGTTCTGGCAACCATCGATAAGGAATCACATCTTCTCAGTGTTTTATACGCCATTAGCCTCTTCATCTGGGGAAGATCAGAACAATGGAGTGATGAAACTACTAAAAGAGTACAATCTTGAATCAAAGATTGGATTACTTTGCTTTGATACAACATCAAGCAATGCAGGTATACATAAAGGATCTCTAGTAAGAATATCTACTGTGCTAAATAAGTATCTAATTCTCTTAGCTTGCAGACATCATGTTTCTGCGTTGAGAATCACACACTTCAGTGAAGCTGTAACAAATGAAAAAACTACAGCGCCTGATAATCTTCTGTTTAAACAATTCAAAAACATGTTTGAGCAGCCTAATTTTGAGTATAAACCATCTTTGCTAGTTAAATTTTCTTGGGATGAAGTTAAAGGAACTGTTGTTAAAAAAGCTGCAATAGAATCTCTTGACTATTGTAGGTTTTACTTATCAAGAAATGATATTGCAAGGGAAGATAGAAAAGAGCTGGCAGAGCTAGTGGTCAGCTATCTCTCTGCTTCTAACATTAAAATTAAAAAGACTGGGGCTATTCACCATGCGAGATTTTAAGGGAAATCTATATACTATTTAAAAATGCAAATTCTTTTAAATCAGATTGATTTTCTTTTAAAAAGTAAAGAACATATTAAAATAATAACAGAATTTATAGCTTGCTTTTATGCAAAGTGGTATCTGCAATCAAATGATACAATCAAAGCTCCTTACATGGATGTTACTGCCATTCATCAAATGCATCAATATAAAACAGTATGTGCAGAACCAGATGCCGTAAATGCTGTGTTGAATTCTTTATTCAAACATACATGGTATCTAGATTCAACTATGATTCCTTTAGCTTTGCTGGATGATGACGTTACACTTGAAGAGAAGAAAAAAATTGCTGCTGCAATATTATCATATCCAAAACCTATGCCATGCTATTTTAAAACGAAAAATAAACAGAACAAAGACATAAAAAAAATGTTAACACTTGAACTAGACATTCATCAGCAGCCTCCTAGCTTAGCTCCTTTGGTTGACGAATTCTCCTGGTTAATGTTTGAGATGGTTGGAATAGATGAACAGTGAATTGAGGACTGGCTTACCTTACCACCTCAGTATTGGGACACGCAATTATCGTTTAGATTATTTCTAAAATTTGCAAAAAGTATTGTTTGTGTAAATGACCATGCCAAGAGGGCTATTGAAATGATGCAACAATTTGTTCACCGCTACAGAGATGAGGAAGAAAAACAAAATAGACTTATTACAAAATAAATTGAAACAAGTTACAAAAAATTAAAAAAGTTTGTATCATTCAATCAACTTTTATTTTATTCTAAAAAGATTAATTAAAATAAAATTAAATTTCTTTTTGAGACGTTAAACAATGTGATATAAGTCATATAAATGCAGAATTATTATGCATTATTTTGTTAAAAGCGCATTAAAACTTTTTTTTTGCGTATTTTTTTGCAAAATCTTTTTTTTATTTAAACAACAATTATGAAAAAACCAGTATACACAACAAATTAAAAAAAAAGTTTGGACCATTATGAGCAAAATATAAAAAAAAAAATTACAAAATATTGAGATTTACCTAGCGCTCAAAGCCAAATTACTTATGAACTATTTGGGGCATTTTTCGGGGTATTTTGCCGCTTGAGCACAAGGTAAATGTCAAATTTGCACCAAATTTGGCTTATTGTGTATTCGTTTTAAAAAATTTTTTTTTTTTTGAACACCCCTAATATATACAGATATATATATATATATATATATATATATATATATATATATATATATATATATATATATATATATATATATATACATATATATATATATATATATATATATATATATATATATATATATATATATATATATATATATATATATATATATATATGTATATATTATATATATATATATATATATACATACATACATACATACATACATACATACATACATACATACATATATATATATATATCCCAAAAAACAACTTTTTTAAAAAATATATGCTGCCACCCCCTAAATATGTTTTATAAGATTAAAAAAAACTGGCTTTAAAAAATATTTGAATAAAAAATACTTTTTTAGGAGTCCCATTAAAACCCTTGAAAATATAACGAGTTCCAAATATAATAAAAAAAAAAGTGGGACACCCCATAATATATGTATGTATGTATATATATATATATATATATATATATATATATATATATATATATATATATATATATATATATATACATATATATACATATATATATATATATATATATATATATATATATATATATATATATATATATATATATACATACATACGTACATATATATATATATATATATATATATATATATATACATATATATATATATATATATATACATATATATAGGCATACTGATGTACATGTATCATACATAGTGATGCATTATGACATTTGCTATGAATATGATACTCATTTTTTATAAATCAGAAAAAAATATATTAACATACGATCATCATTTATGAGTCTTTCAAGATATTCCTTATCAGCATAAAGTTCACCAAGAAGTTGTTTAACAGTCTTTTTTGATGGAGTTAGTAATTTTACATCTTTGTTACGATTTGCAATTGGAGGCTTTATTTGGATTAAAGGTGTTTGTTTTAGCAATCCGCGTTTTTTTGTACTCTAAAAAAATAATTACCTTTTTTTTATACTAGCTCTACTCATTATCTTATATTTTCATCATGACAAAGTTGATTTGACACACCAGTGACAAATTTTTTGTTTTCCTACTCACTCATTTTATAACATTTTATATATATTATACTTTGCTTGTTTTTATTAACTAATTTAGCAAACAATCATTTCATTTTATTTTAACTGGCTTCATTCTTAATGTTTGTTTTTTTCTTAACGCTTTCAAAATTAACATAAAATTCAAAATAAACAAAATTCTTTTAGCTATTTATTTATCTCTTTTAGCTATTTATTTACAAATTTTCATTTGTAAATAAATAGCTCTTTTTCTTAATTTTGAACTTAACACAAAGTACCATTCATACCATATCTGTTTTACTTTTAATAAGTATCATTAAAGAAATTGAAAGAAAAATTTAATTTAATTAATTATTATTATCATTAATGAAATGTTGAAGAAAAATTAAAAAAAAAGAACTAGACCAAAAAAAAAAAAGAAAATTTATTAAATCTGGTGCTAGTAAAGCAATCGGAATTAATAATGAAAATGAATCTTAAGTTCATTTTCACTAATAATTCTGAAGAACTATCATTGAAAAATAAGAATCAAAATCCTTCGACAATACTTGTTAAACATAAATAATTCCTGTGCTTTAAGTGGCAAAAAATAAAATAAAAGGTAACTTTTATTTTATTTTTTGCTCTCATATTCTCAATGAAATAAAAAAGCCAATAGAAAAACAAAGCACCTGTTATTTTTTCAAATGTATTTTTTTTACTAATGCTACCTATCTCATCAACAAATGAATTTATCACGAGAATCAGTAGAGTAAATCCATATTTAATTGATATAAAACATAGTTTAACCTTAATCAAACACAACATAACTAAATTATATGTCACAAATCCTAGAGCAAACAAAAGGAGGTGATGTCATTCTGTATGTTAGAAATTATATTTAATCAACTAAGAATCAGTTAGCTCACTCAGATAGTGAACAGATTTGGTATGAAACTAATATGAACAATGAAAAAATTCTTAGTGGCTGCATATAAAGACAGCAAGTTTTCAATATATATTATCAATTACTATTTAAAGTTCCAACCTTTATAAATCCAAAAAATATCAAAACCTTATCATGATGAGCACATATTGTTTAGATGGACTAGTGATGCAGGTTTTTAAACTAAAGGTACTTAAGTCATTTTTAAACTTTCAAAAAAACTGGAGATCTTGTGATTATAGAAGTCATAATTCCAATATTCAATATAAACCCAATCTAGGTTGCACTAAAAAAACTGACTGCATCATTGCTTAATTTATGCCTACTATCTATTAACCATGTTTTCTTAGTAAATCTACAATAAAAAATTATTTTATTAAGTGTGAGATTTAGTAGAAACAGCATTTTAAAAGCAAATGTATCATTAAAAAGTAATTTTAGCAAGTGTGACATTTAAAAGAAACAGCATGTTTTAAGCAAATCAACCATTAAAAAGTAATTTTAGCATGTGTGATATTTAATAGAAACAGCATGTTTTCTAAGTAAATTGACTATTAAAAAATAACTTTAGCAAGTGTGACATTTAAAATTTAAATAGCAAACTTAAAAAAAAACTTAAAAAATATAAAAACTTAAAAAATCTCTTTTGTAAGCTTTGTAACCATGTCTGTGTACCACATTAAATTTGTTTCTTTGATAAACAAAGTTGCTGCGTTTTGAAGTTAAAAGGTTGAGAAAGGGTTGTAAAAGGAAAAAAAATGTCACTACAGTTAAGAAGAACCCTCCTTGACTATATTGACTTGACATTGGGAACCTAAAAATAATTAAAAAAAGGCAAAAATAAAGAGATTTTAAAAAATAAAAAAGGACTTTAGGAAAGACTTCAAATATATAAAAAAAATAATACACTTTCCAATGTTTATTCTTTAAACCTTTAGGAAACAGACTTATAAATATAAAAAATATAAAAGTAAATACACCTCACGATGTTTATTCACAAAATTTAAAAAGTAAACATAAAATACACAAAGTTTTTTATGTTTATAGATTTTATTTGCAAAAAATAAGATTCAAATTTATTTCATTAAATATTACAACAGTAACACTATGCTACTAAATCAATATAAAAAATTAAAGTGAAATACTTTAAAACCATAATTAGTTTATACAGTTTTAACATCATATTTAATTAATTTATTTATTGGAAAATTATTAAGCAATAATTTTAAAATTATTTTTATTCAAACAAACTCATTGATCAAATAATGAGTTTATTTGAATAAAATATAAAGCATTAAATAGTTGAAATTTAAAATTAAAGTATTAAAATATTAAATATTAAATAGTAAAACTGAAAACAATGATTGGTTCTTAACTTTATTGAACTTATTTTTGAAAAACTAATGCTTATATTTTGATTAGCTGAATATCTAAAAACTTTATAATTTAAGATTATTTTACATATTTTTAAATGTTTTATTTCAAAAAAAGAACCACACTTCTTAATAATATCAAGTAACATGATAAAGTTTAAACCCTGGAAACTCACTAACTGGAGTAACAACAACAACAACAAAAAGTACAAAAGTTTAAAAAATTAAAACTTACAAAGTCATCCTGTTTGGAGAAAAAAGAAAGATCACCTTTTGCTTCTAGTTTTATTTTTGCTGCTTCTAAATATGTATTTGAGTATATGTATAAAAAAACTTATATAATTAATGAAATATTGCAAATTTAATATGTAGTTTTTTTTAACATACATAGAATTAAAAAAATGACTTACTTCCAATTGAATTTTCAATTGCTTCTTGAGCTTTTTGTATCCCTAAGCGGAACTCGTCAAGTTCAGGACATAGTTTATGCCCTCTATGGTAGTAAACAAGAGCATACTCAAAGTCTCCTATACAGTACAAAGCCTCTGCTTTTTGACAAAGACCCTAGTAAGCAAAAAAATATATATGAAGTTCAAAACTTTGAATTAATAAAAAATGAAAAAAATCTTTATTTATTTTCTTTTAAATTCATTTATTTTATTCTTATGGATACTTAATTTTGTTTTTAGAATTTATTTTAGTTTTTATAGGTAAAATTAAAAAAAAAGTTCTTTATTTAATTTTATTTTTTTGTTGTTATTTTACATTTAATGAACTTAATGTTTCAGTTTTATTTTTTAATAATATCATTTTTAACTAATAAAAAATCCTTTTTATTATTATTATTATTTTTTTTTTCAATTTTATTATTTTATTTATTATTCATTTATTATTATTATAATATTATTATTATTATTAGTTGTTGTTGTTGTTTTTATTATCATTATTATTATTATTATTATTATTATTATTATTATTATTATTATTATTATTGTTGTTGTTGTTGTTGTTGTTGTTGCTGCTGTTGTTATTTCATTACTTATAATTTTATGGTTGAAAAAAAATTAACTAACAAAAAGTAAACTAAAACTCTTGAGCTCAAAAAAAGTTGACAAAAGACATAGTAATAAATTACATAGTAATAAAATACCTTGATTGAATCTTTATTTTGGGAAAGAACTGTTTCTGCATCTTGTAATGCTTTTTGAGGATCCCCAAGCTTTAAATAACACTTAGATCTAGCAACTAGACAAGTTGGGTCATTTTCTTTTATTTCAAGTGCCTACAAATTAATAAAAATGTTTTAATATTTATCAAGTTTATTATTTTTATATAAAATAAAACTTTACTACAACTGAAAGTTCTTACCAAACTATAGCTTTCAATCGCTTTTTTAAATTCACCTTGTTTAAATAGAATTGCACCTTCAGCTAAATACGTGCTATACGAACTTCTTGGAGCACTGTTTTCTTCATCGTCTTCATAGGTTTCGCTATTGGTCATTTATATAATAATACTTTTAAATATAACCTCCTTTGCAGTGATACTTACAATTATGACCCTTTTGAATGGAATAATATGACCAGTTTATGTTGTTGCTACGGAACTTGATATAGTCCGTTACAGTCCGAATTTAATTCGTATTTTGCGACAAGATATACTCAGCCGTTTCACCTTATAGTATTTAAATACTATGACCATTTCACTCAAAGTGAAATCGAGCCTGGTGACACAAGTTTATCAAAAATGAAGTGTATTTCCACTTAAATTCACTAAATTTAGATTAATAATACTTTTTTTATTTAATGATTTTATCTTTAAATAAAAAAGTTATAAAAAAAAAATTAATATTTTACAAAATACCGTTAAGATAAACATAGGAAGCAATAATTAAATATGCTATGACTTGATAAGGGTTTTGACTGTTGTAGGGAACTCGTAGAAGACTGAGTTTAGTCTTATCATCGAGAACCTTGGGGTGTTGCGTAAAAAAAACATATAAACATTATGATTCTCATAAAACAAATATTTTAAATGTCATTGAGGTAGACTTTTCTTTTCTTTTTATTATACTATGCATGGTGTTAGTGTTGTGGTTTATAATAATAATATTATCTTTATTTTTTAATTAAAAAAAAAAATCATTTTCATTTGTAATTGATTGCTGATTATTTGAATGTGAGCGTAAATACTAATTTATCATTGGAACTAAAACATTTTTTAGTAATTATCTGTATTGAAAACATGATTTTTTAGTTTTAACTTTAAAGAAGTTATATTGTCAGCAAGAGAAATTGAGGTATAATTCGGAATTAGTTTGTTATATAAATAAGGGCCGCGGTAAGAAATAGAGAATTGAGAGTTTTTTATTTAAAGATAAAATCATTTTTTAAAAACACACGTTCTGAGAAAAATACCAAATAAGTTAAAATTGTGATGAAAAGTATTATAAAATAACAAAAATACAAAAAATATAGTATAGAAAGAGCATATTGATAGTATTTTTTAATCATGAACACCAACTTCATACATATTCCCTTCTTTTTGTTCAAATTTGTCAGATTTTTATGCTTGCGGCTTCTTAAAATCTTCCTTTGTTTCTTGATGGTGTTTTGATTTTTATTCTCCGACATCCTAACTTGTCTCTGGTTCAAGTAATTGCATCCAGAAATCGTATGTTGTCCTGGTATCATATCAAGTCTTTCAAATATAAAGATAATAGACTTTAATCCTATATTAAAAGCACCAATAGCATTATAGAGTCCGAATTTCAATTGCGTAAGCAAAACATACTTTTACTTAGGTATTCTGGACCACATCATTGCATTAAAATTTTCATTTTGGTTCTGTGTTCTTCCATGAAGCAAACGGTTTAAGTAAACATCTAATGTTAGTTCTACATAAATGGGCTTTAACTTAAGTACGATTTCAATAGGAAGACTTGGTCCCGGTTTATACTCATTGATTTCATTAGTTTTATCTTGATTGAATTTACACCAACTATCTTTACCAGTGGGACAGTACGAGTAATGCCAATTATTTTTGCTTGATGACGCTACACGAAATAAGCTTGCCAAGGCTGAAGATCTCATACCTTCAAGGTTGTCACAATTTTGCCTGATGCAAATACCAAAATAATTTTGCAATTAATCAATTGTAGCATTTGTTAAACCGTCTTTACCATTTAAGCCCTTGACTTATTTTTTTAATTATCTACAATGAGATCCAATGCGCTTTTGAAAATGTTTGATACAATCCAGTTTAATTAATTCAATACCCTTGTATGTGTTTTTGACAGTAGTGTAGCATTTGCTATCACCATCACCCTGGTATTCTGTTAAATTTCTGCAAAGAGCGATTAAATATCTTTATTGCCCTAGCTGTTTCCATTCTACCGGCTGATCCTTAATAGTTTTTATTACAAATGTGTGGGTTTTTTTCTGCTGTTTGCTGCTCCTTTGAATTAACAAAATCTTAATTTTTGTCACATATTTTACTTTTTCTAGATAATGCTTTAACATTTAAAACCTTCCCATTTTTAATTGATAATGCTACGGTCACCCCATTGAATTATATCCCTTTTTTTTGCCATGTTCCATCAACAGAAACTCTAGTATCTACGATCTCATTAGGATTGTAGAAACTGGAGTTTCTGTTAATGGAATTATTTCTCTGAGTTCTTATACAGCTTCATTCATAGTTTCAATAGCAACAGTTTGTGCTGCAGATGTTAATTTTTGAACAATAACATTATAGCTTTTATCGTATAATCCTTTTGGTATATTCATGAGCCGATGTAGACCAGCTCGGCCTTGACCAAGTGTTGTCATGGCATACACTAAATTTTTATTAATATAAAACCCTGCTACATTTTTTGATGTGTCAAAGTCTAACTTGAAACCACAATCACAATTTAAAGATAAATTTGATGCATATCTTTTGCAAGACATTTTATTTCCGCCCTAACGACAACTGTGATGATCGCAAACATTCTGGACACCCAAGTTTATCAAAAATGGAAGCAAAAACTTCTAAATCAATAAACTTGTAGCCAATTACATATTTTGAGTTTCCACTTGATACCATAACTTGCTTCACTTTTTTTTTTATCCACTTTCAAATACACTTTTACTTTCAATATTTACAGAGTCTACCATATTTACATCATTACTATTTATATTATTTACACAAATATTTACACATTTTTTTTTGCTTTCTTAAACCATAAAAGATACATTTACGTTTTCAAAGACGTTTAGTACAAAATTTAACTCTATTACTATTATATTTTGTTTTAGACTTGTCCATTTTCTTTAATTAAAGCTTGAGTTAGTTATTTAGAAGCTTGAAAAGATGACTAATTTTAGCACAATGTGTCAAAGATATGGTTTTAAAATATGGCTTTACAGATATTGAGCAGCCGTGGCGCAATGGTTAGAGTTCTGACTCAGAACCCAGAGGTCCCAGGTTCGACGCCAGCTCTAGCCCAACAAGTGAAATTGGTACGGAAGGAGGCGTGAACTTCCTGTTAAATGCTCTCCCGCGGTGCTCTATGATAAGACCGTAAGAACTTCTGGGAGCACCTAACATACATACAAAAAAAAAAAAAAAAAAAAAAAAAAAATATTAGAAAGCATTTCAAACTAAACTGCAAAAAAACCCGTTACTAGAAGTGTTTTATATGACAGTTTTTCTGTAACTAGGGGCCTTGTTAGGTAATTTTGAACTCAGAAGGTTGTACAAAAATGTCATTTATTAATATAAAGAAAAAGCGATTTTTGAATAAGATTTTCACCGTTTGATTTTTTAATAAATTTACTTTTAAAATATCTGAAAACAAAAATCAAAAATCAAATTATTTTTTGAGAGGCTTTCCTCCTTAATCGTTAAATTAATAAAGATTAAAACACTTCTTTTTTTAAACTTATTTTAAATTGTTATTGTAAAAACTGTATAAAACAACAATGCATGGTTGCTTTGTGAAAAAATAAATAGTTTATCTTACTAAAAAAAAAAAACTTCATTATATTAGCTAATTGCTGTTTTAGACTACGATCCGTGCATGCTAATCGCATCGGTCTGTGACCTCTCTCTCAGAACCAAGTAATTTTTTTCAGAAGTAGTACTTTATAATATGTAATAACATTATAGAAAAAGTTTCCAAGTTTTTCTTCTGCAGTTTTTGAGATAAAGGTGTTAGAACCCCCTATAAAAATCGATTTATACGACTGTCGTTTCGTTTCGTTCAAAATTATCAATAAAAAACAGAACATATTTTTGAATAATTTTTCTCTATCTCGTTTCAAATAAGTGCATGTGGAAAATTACTTTGTGAAAAAATAATCAAATTTTTTCATTAAGTAATTTTCCGTCTTCTTAATAATCAAAACAAAATAAAAACATGGCCGCGGCCGAGTCCGGTAAGCTCTCATGTCATATTCATTTTCCAAATTGTGAAGTTGAACAATTAAGAAATTTTATTAATTTAACTTATGAAGAATTTATTTTATCACAAAGTTAATGGTTGCCCTGAAAATTTTGATAAAAACTCTTATTAAGTACGCGACTATCGCGTTTTATGGAACCTAAATTTTGTGCTAAAATTTTGTGACGCATTTTTGCGTAGTCTCTTCAAAGTTAGCGTGCTTGAGGAAGGCCTTGTGGAATAAATTTTTAGTATTCGTTATTATTATAGATTATTTTAAGAAAGAAGAATAGTTAAAGCATTAGTTCGATTTGGTTTTAATTATACTCATTTGATTTATTAAGAAATTTATTGATGTCAAAATTTTGTTCGTACTTCTGTGGTTAAATTAATGTTCAGGATATACGTCTTTTTTTTTTCTATCCAATTTTTTTATTTAAGTTATTCATTTATCTATGCTCCTGCCAAAATTTGTTGAAAAATATTTTGTAGCAGTCACTCTATTTCTTGCTGCACTTTTGTTACCTAATTTACATTTTCCCTAATGTTAGCGCGGGAGACAGAGGGAACAATTGATTATATAAATTGTTATATATTTAGTGTTGACATCGTGTATAAAGGTGAGTTTCCACTCATCCTTTTTTTCACGGGAATAGAATAGGAAAGAAAAAATAATAACGTGAGCATGTGTAGTTTTCCATCAGACATATTAAAACTTATACTATGCATGCCCACGTGATTATTTTTCCCGTCCCTTTCCCGTTCCCGTGAAAAAAATGGATGAGTGGAAACTCACCTTAAGAGTATATGTTATACTAGTCAGAAAACATCAAATAATACAAATTCTCTTAATACAATTACTAATCTATTATTAGAAATTTTCGCTGGATTATGGTTGCCAGCATTATCCGTTCGTAAAAATTATACAACAAAATTTTTTTGTAACGTTAGAAACACTTTAAAATTAACTGACGTCAGCAGTTGAATGGCTTCTTTCTTGCTTACGTAAAAATGTAAAAATTGGAGTCCAAAATTTAGTTTTCACAAACTGCCCGTTATCTAATTTAATTCAGCCATGTATAGGTGAACATTGGAAGCTCTGTATTTCTAGGGCTTCGCGCACTTTTCGATCAAATTTTTTTGTTTCAACTTTAATTGTTTTTACGTTTTCCCACTTTATTTCTTGTGAGCAAAACTTATTATGGGTAGCTATTGCAGATTGATACTGTTTCCCCTCGTTTAAACTTTTTAGATGTTGTTGAGTCCGAGTCCTAATTTGAAGTTTAGTTTCGCCTACGTATCTCTTTGAGCATTTGCATTCAATCAAATAAGTTCCGGGTTGACTATTTTGTGGTAATTTAGTTTTGTTTTTTGACGTCAGTAATGTTTTTAAATCTGGATTTGATTTGAAGACTACTCTATAGCCAGCTTTCCGAAATATTTTCCTTAGTTTTAAGGATAGCGATGGTATCCATGGCAGCGATACACTAGGGATGTTAAGTAGGGATGTTAATATTACTGAAAAAGCTCGCGAAATAATGTTTCTGAAATCAAAAGAGAGATTATTTAAAAAGTTTAAAATTCTTCAAAACGAATTTGAAAATAATCACAGTAATAAAATTTGTAAGTTAACAACCCATTCAAAGAACGCTGTTTTAAACTTATGCAATGATGATATTCCAAAAAATCAAAATAATCTTCTTAATCTTGATACCTTCGTTGAAATATATACCTTATAAGGATATTATTGCAACAACAGAGACCTCAGCTTTGAAGTTGGAATATAGCAACAAGATTGAGGATGCGCAGGATTTGAGAAAAAATGTTTTTAATGAACTTAAAATGGGTAAAAAAATAAATCAAAATATAACCAAGAGAACAAAGAAAAGCTCTTATGGAAATTAAGAAAAACAAAATTATTGATATATATCCGTTTGATGAGGGTAATAGTTTTGTAAAGATAGAACACGATAAAGCTTTTGGAACAAATTGGCCCTACAAGAACTTTAAGTGAAGATCCCACATCTAGTTATGCTATTAAAATTAAGACTTATCTCTCACAACTTAATAAAAAGCAACGATTTTCAAAAACGGAATATGATAGTATATATCCGAGTGATCCCACCCCGCCTCGTATGTATGGTCTAATTAAAGCTCTCAAACCTGAAAAATCCTATCCTATGAGAATAGTTGTAACTATCTACTATGAGAATAGTTAGTAACTATCGGCACTCCTAATTATGGAATATCGAACTATTTAGTAAAAAAAATACAACGTGTCTTAAACAAAAACCAAACACGTCTGAAAAATTCTTTTGATTTTATTTGTAAAGCGAATTCATGGGAGATTGACAAAAACGAGGTTCAAGTTTTATTTGTTGTAATAAACTTGTATCCATCAATACCACTAAAGGAAGCCACTTTAGTTCTCATAGACCAATTAAATAAAGATGATTCCTACAAATGTTCTACCAAACTTACTATATCTGAAACAAAACAACTCATAGAGCTTTGTTTACATCGTTGTTATTTCCTTTGGAACAATAAAATCCATGAACTTGAGAATTCTGGTCCTATTGGTCTTTCATTCATGGTCGTAATTGCAGAATCATTTTTACAACATCATGAACAAAACGCTTTCAAAATTTCAATGGCAGTAAATCCTCCTCTTGACCTAAATTACCTATCTAAGATATGTCTACGATAGTCACGCTAGATTTTCCAACACTCAAGAAGCAGAACAATTCCTAACTATCTTAAACAAACAACACCCTGCAATACAATATACCATTGAAACTGAAAGCGAAAATAGAACTCTAAACTTCCTCAATTTAACCATAATAAACAACAACAAAGGAAAATACGAGTTTAAAGTTTACAGAAAGAAAGCCATAACTAATATCCAAATTAAACATCACTCAAATCATGACCCTGAGGTTCTAAACGCAATATTTAAAGGTTACGTTCACAGGGCTTATTCTTTATGCAATCATTTATATTTACAGGATGAGATTAATTTCCTTATTCAAATGTTTAACGAAAATGGGTACAACATATACCAGCTTAAACGGATTGCTAAATTAATTGGAAATAAACGGTCTCTAAAAGTCAATAAAATTCAATCAGACTCTCTAACATCCCTGGTTAATCGTTGCCGTGGATACCATCGCTATCCCCAAAACTAAGGAAAATATTTCGGAAAGCTGGCTATAGAGTAGTCTTCAAATCAAATCCAGATTTAAAAACATTACTGACGTCAAAAAACAAAACTAAATTACCACAAAATAGTCAACCCGGAACTTATTTGATTGAATGCAAATGCTCAAAGAGATACGTAGGCGAAACTAAACTTCAAATTAGGACTCGGACTCAACAACATCTAAAAAGTTTAAACGAGGGGAAACAGTATCAATCTGCAATAGCCACCCATAATAAGTTTTGCTCACAAGAAATAAAGTGGGAAAACGTAAAAACAATTAAAGTTGAAACAAAAAAATTTGATCGAAAAGTGCGCGAAGCCCTAGAAATACAGAGCTTCCAATGTTCACCTATACATGGCTGAATTAAATTAGATAACGAGCAGTTTGTGAAAACTAAATTTTGGACTCCATTTTTACGTAAGCAAGAAAGGTAACCATAATCCAGCGAAAATTTCTAATAATAAATTAGTAATTGTATTAAGAGAATTCGTATTAATTGATGTTTTCTGACTAATATATATATATATATATATATATATATATATATTTTTTATTTTTTTTTTTTTTTTTTTGAAAAAACAAAAAAAAGAAAAAAAAAGAAAGAAAGATAAAGAAAAAATAAGAAAAATAAATATAGAGTGAAGAAAAGAAAAAGAAGGAAATGAAAAAGCAAAAAACAAAAAAAAAAAACAAATCAAACAAACTAACAAAAAAAAAAAAAACAACATAAAAAGAAACGAGAAAAGAAAAAAAAAAAGAAAAAAATCCAAAGTAAAAGAAAAAACATTCGAAAATGAAAAGTAATTAAATGCAATTAAAATAAAATATAAAAATTGCTCCGTTTTTGAAGAAACGTAAAAGAATATTTTTTAAATTTTATTAATTTTGGACGTTTGTCTTTTTTGTTGTTGTTTTTTGTTTTTGTATTCTTGTGTATTGTTAATTGGGCATTGTATTGTATAATTCATTTTGTTTGCATCGTATGTTTTTTAATTTAAATGTTTTTAATTTTATGTTTGTTGGACATTTAAAAAAATGTATATATTTTTAAAGCTGTATATGTATATGTATCTATATGTGTATTAAGCCACTACCAAAATATACTTTTTTTCTCAGATCATATTGGCTCACTTTGGGATTTGTTGTACATACCATTTTAAGACTATCCTTAAAATTTCAGATCGATTTGAGTAAGGGTAGTTTTGGGAAACGGTTTTAAAGTTTTAAAGTATTTTCTCGTTTTTCATGAAACATTCATTTTTCTGGCATTTTTAATATTTGTATACTTTATTACTAACTTTAATACAAATATTCTTTCCATTAGAATACTTGAATATAATGGAATGAGTATTTACCACATAATCTTAAACACTAGTGTAGGAACAGGGGGAGGAGAAAGCAACACCCCCCCCCCCAACTATGTAAAGACCTACTCAAATTCCGATTACGGCTGCCTTAGCCCCTCTTTCTATCCGTTTCAACCCCCAACTTTCTTGACCTTCCTACGCGACTGATCTTAAATATTTTATGCGTCGTAATTTACTTTAATAACACAGTAATAAACGTTCTGTAATAGACTTGTGGTAAAGCGCTCGCCTTATAAGTAAAGCTTCTGGCTCAAGCCAACCTGATGCTTCTGGAATTACCGCGTTCAACATGTTTCTCTGCGAAAAGGTAATTCCGGAGTTAAGGGTTAAGAGTCTTGCAATTAAAATAACTCTTGACAGTAGTCAAGTCAAGGATGCCTTTGGACATAGGGATGTAAACCAAATTTAAAATTAAAAAAAAAAAACATTTTTCAAGAAAAAGGTATAAAGTAATCAGTTTTAGATAAATTACATTTATTTTCTGCTCTGCTTTGATTTTTAGTTAAGATAAAGTTGTGTCTCTTTATTTGACCATAAACTATCTTTGATGCCTCTGATAAAAGTTTCACAGACCTTTCCACTGATTGTGAATTGTTGGGTAAATCTGTAAGAATAGGCTTTTTAGAAGTTTGCAAAGCATTCTCTAATTCAAATGATGAAATTAGGATAGAAGTTGGAGGTTTGACCTCAATTAAAGAAACATCAACTAAACCACTCCATGTATCAGCGTTAAAGTTAATAGGCATAATTGATTTTGCTTTGATTTTTGGTTTAACTTCAGGATTTACTTCTCTTGAATGCCTGACAAAATTTGCTTAATAGCTTGAGCTCTTATATCTTTTTCATCATCTTGCAACATAGAATATAAAAAGTTTTCTTGAAGACAGCAATAAGAGTTTCCTTGAAGATTTTGAAAAACAATTTGTTGTACATTGTCTGTTTGATTTTTAACAAACTCTATTGTTTTATGAAGAAGTCTTGGAGCATCTTTATAAAGACCAGACTTTTTATGGGCAAACCACACGGGGCAATATACTTGGACAATATACTTTGTAATTATGCACAACTCATCTGTAGGATTCTTCACTCTCGCATAAACCATCATTATCCTTAAAGCTAGAGTTAGCCATCTGGCATGGTAAACAGGTCCTGGTTTTTTCATTGAATATTTTGGGGATATAAAACCTCTAGATATTCCAATACAGTATTCGTAAAGATTACGTTGATCTGTGCTAAGATCAGATAAAATATTAGAGTTTACATATGAATCAATCTCTGATTGAATTGGAATAAAATCAACTATTGGTAAATCATGCAAATCATCTGCAGAAGCTTTTTGACCAATAGGGCCCTTATATTTCTTTGGATTGTTACTTTTACCATCTACTTCAGCTATAACATGGCGAAGTGGTAACTCGTTTTGATGAAGTACACATCCTATAAAATGGATTCCTCGATTTAAAAGCTTTTCTAATGTCACAACTAAGCCATTATCTGCACCGGTATTAGCAGAAGTATTATCAAGAACAATGGCTTCCAAACTACTAATGCTGTTGTATTTTTCAAGTATTTTTAGTGTTTCGGTTGCCATTGTAATTCCTGTTCCATTTTTTATTTCAATATGAGTTAAATATTTCTTAGAAAAAGGTCCACTTTCTGCAGTAAAAGTTAAGTGATGTTCATCCTTTACTGTTCTATTAACAATAGGTTCAGCATTATGATCATATCCTAATATATGTGCTAATGTATTTTTGTCTTTTTTACTATCTACTCCAATGACTTTCAAATGGAAAACTTCTGAACAGTGTTTTTCACTAAACATGGTTGAAACACGCTTTTTAGTGTAAAATATCTTTTTTTCAGTGATAATTTGTGATCTGTCATTCTGAGTTATAATTTGATAGTCTATCAAGGTAGCAGTTGCTATGGCAGATGTTGCAGCATCACTAACTTGGAACCTAATGGCAGCTTTGGCAATGTTAGTTAAATCTGTGTAATTTTTTTCACACAGTGGTTTTGCAAAAAACTCACGATTCTGCTTTTTATAATCATCATCGTTATCTATTTCCATATCAGTTTCACTAATATAATCATTATCTGAATGGAGTGGTGTCACTTCATATTAATTTTCTCCTTATTTCTTTTTCTTGCAGTCATGGCTGTTTCTTTCTTATCAATTCGGCCTATCTGCCAGGTTCCAAAGGGCCCTTGCTTAACTTTCTGGTCCTTTAAATACTCTTGTTCTAGAACTGGAACCTTAATTTTAAAAAAATATACGTTTAATAACTTGTAGAAAGTTTAAAATATTATTAAGCATAAATTAAAAAAATAATAATACAAAAAAAAAATTCAAATTTAACCTGTTTACTTTTTTCACAGAGACATACATAGTGCTTGTTAGAGCAACCCTTGCATCGAACATTTCTAAAGGGTAATATACAGTAATATATACAGTAAAATATATGGCAGTTTAGTCACAAATTTGTTTAAACAAAATTGTTTAATATTGTGGTTTTTTAAAAATGTATAACTTCAAACCTGTCATCACAAATTAAAAGAGGAAGTTCACATCAACATGCTGATATATCAAATAACTTTAAAAGGTTATTTTCCAACCAACAAACACTATTTTTATGTTTTGAAGCTTTAGATCGTTCAGCTGCAATTACTTTTTGAAATGTTCTATGTACCTTATTTCTTAGAGGTTTCTCTTTCACTAGTGGAAGATTTGGATTAACGTTTTTCCAAATTTTTAAAATTTCTTCACTCACTTTTAAAACTACGGCTGGAGAGTCAATTTTTTCAGTTGTAGTTATTTCATTTTCGACCTTATAGGCATATTGAATAATCTGTTTATATGTTGGGAGGTCACTAACAGGTAGTTCATTTGGTTGTCCAGCATATCTTTGGCTTTGATGTCTAGTTATAATATTATGTGTTCTTTTTCTTAGTGGTCGCCCAGATCCACATTTGTTATTCATTTTTAATATTTAAATTCAGTCTGAAAAAGATTTTTTATAAACTTGTTATATAAGATAATATCAAGTGAAAATACTATAAAATACAGAAGCTAAATATATTGCTAATATTTCTATACTTTATCTATGTTAGATTATATATAATATTTTATATCTTAAAACATTGTAAAAAGTAACTTTTTCCCAACAGAAAAAATGAAAACGCATTTAAAAATGGCAAACTTGTTGTTTTTGTACCAATTTATGACGCGAAATTAACATTTTATGTGTCGTTCTGTCCAATTTCGCAATAATTGAATGGAACCATAAAAATGTCACTTGTTTTGTTTTTCCCAAAAAAATGACAAATTTTTGAAATTTTTTAAATTGATAATAATTTTATTGAATATAAATAGAACATTTCCCAAAGTGAGCCGAGTATTGACTTTAACTTGGTAGTGGCTTAATGTGTATGTATACATAGCTATGTGAGTGCATGTACGCGCGCGTGTGTATTTATGTGCAAGTATATGTGTATCTATGCATGTGAGTAAGTATGTGTATATATCTTTATATTTGTGTTTGTGTGTGCATGTAACAATTATAAACTTTATCATTTTTTTTAATGCTTTTTTGTTTTTCTTTATTTTATTTTTAAATTTTATCATGTTTTTTGTTATAGTTTTATTTCTTTTAGTTTTAAATATTTATCGTAGCCACAATTATTACTATTTTTAACTTAACTATTTTTATTCATATTTTATTATTTTCAAATAAAACAAATATTTTATGTTCTTGTTAGTTGTTACGTTTTATCAGTCAATTGTTAGTAACTAACTTATATGTACATTTAAGTATTGTGTTTATAAAAACAAGTGACTTATTATTTGATTATTTTTTTAATTTAATTATTATTATAATTGTTATTGTTTTTGTTTGATTTATTATTATTGGGGTTCTTATGTTTGTTACTATAAATATTATTTTTATTATTATATTTATAATTTTTATAATTATTACTAATTATATATATAAAGATCTATATTTTTGGTGTTTACTTGATATTAGCAGGATTACTATTTGTAAATGTCCATGAAATTATTTTTCAGAATATATGTATGATATATATATATATATATATATATATATATATATATATATATATATATATATATATATATATATATATATATATATATATATATATATATATATATATATATATATATATATATATATATATATATATATATATATATATATATATATATACATACAGGGCTGTGGAGTCGGAGTTGCGACATTTTTAGCGCAGTCGGAGTCGCTAAACAAAACCGCGATTCCGACTCCAATAGTAAAATTTCCCGGTATTACACGTAATATTTTTTTAAGAATTCAAAGAACTTTTCAAAAATTTTGCTTTGGAGTTGGAGCCGGAGTCGGAGTTGTGCTCAAAAAATTTCAACAACTGGAGTCGGAGTCGTTACTTTTTTTTTACGACTCCACACCCCGGTAAATATATATATATATATATATATATATATATATATATATATATATATATATATATATATATATATATATATATATATATATATACATATATATATATATATATATATATATATATATATATATATATATATATATATATATATATATATATATATATATATATATATATATATATTTGGGTGGGGCATAAAACACCTAAATCAATAAAAAAAATACCATAATAGTTTTTCTGATTCCTTTTGAGTTTTTCTGGTTCCTTTGTATTAAAAATATATAATTATTTTTTTTTATGGGTACTCCTATGGTCGGTCCCAGCAGTCCGAAATTTTGAAAAATTCTACTCTTTGTAAATAATGAGGGGGGCTGGGTCACTTACAAATATTTTAAAGATATCTTTAAGGTTATTTTTGTAGCCTGATAAATCTTATTTAAGATTATATTTTGTAAAATTTTCTTCTTACAATTTTAAATAAAAATTTTTTTTACATTTGTATTTATTTTCTAAAGAAAAGTTATTTTGAAGCTTTCAATCAAGATTTTTTTTCTGTTGTCTGAAATTTTAGACGATGATCTGCAACAACCAGTAAATTAGCTTTGTTGTCTTCTTCGTTTCGGAAAGTTTCAATAAAGTCGTGACCAAGTTTAATTGCACGTTCTGCACTGTCATTTACAACAAGAAGACCAGTGATATAATTTTTAAATCTAATATAACCTGAACATGTTTCCCAGTTTGATGAACTGATTTTTAGCCATTCTGTCATGTAATGTCATTTTAAGTAAATCAAAGAAAAACCAGCTTTCAGGACCAATAAAATCTTCAATTCTTTTTGTTATTTTTTTTTTCATTGTCAGAAAAAATTTCTGAACTTAGTTTTCCCATTTTATAACTGGTAGGCTTTGCTGTTTGAGCTAATTTAAGAGCTAATTTATGTAGCTGATCTACAGATGAGCATTTATCAGCAAGACACATAACCACAAATCTTTCATTTAAATACCAATTGTGTTTTTCAAGTGACTTTAGTACGGCCTCTGCTGGTTTAAGACATAATTTAGAATATTGTATCATTTCATTAATGGCTTTTAAATTTAAAGAAGGTGCTATGGCAGGGATAAAAGCTTTAATAAACCATGGAACATAAAATAATGATGTAAATGAACCAATTTCATGAATCAGCTTTCCCTATCGTAATGATATTATATCAGGACATAAGTTACTGAATTGTGGCTGTAGAATGTTGTATGTTAAATAATAAACGCCCTGTGTCATAAACCTGGCATGACGTGAAGCCATTGGAAATCTAAAGTGAAAATCTTTTACTTTGCCACCTAACCAAAGAACTGCTAACTGTATAAAATACTTGTAGTCATTTCTTGGAAATATATCATTATCGAGGCAATTTTGAAGGAATGTTAATGATTCAGAAGCCTAAAGTAAAAAATAAAGAAAGTTAAGTATTATTAAAACTTATAATCAAACAGATTAATCTAATTAGGATAATCAAACCAACCTGCTTTTCCAAAAAAGATTTAATTTTTTTTTCTGAGTCAAATCTCTTTAGGTTATCATAATTTATTTTCTTTTCAAGAATCGATTTCCAATTACACTTTAGCCTTTCAAATAACTTAGTTTTTGGTCCACTTGTTTTACCTCCAGTAAGAACACTTGAAAAGTGCTAAAATATATTTATTTCAAATCATTTAACTAAATTTTAATAATAAGGTGAATCGTTATTAAATTCATCGAGAAATATTAAATAAATAAATAAATATAAAAATATTTTATGACTTCTTTTCAATATTTACCTTTATATGTAATTCATAGACATGATGACGACAAGCCATCCAAATCAAAGCTTTTCCTCTCCACTGCTCAATAAGAGTACAGACTCCTTTTAGCCAACCAGTATTTGTGACTGTGGTGTCAAAGGACAGACAATCAACATAGTCAAATAGCTCCCAGTCTTGTAAAGTTTTTTTGATTGCTTTCCCAAGAGACTCAGCAGTGCCATCTTTTACAATTAAAATACCCAAAAGTTGGGATTCTGAAAGATCTGGTGAACTGATTAGCACAGCTAATCTTTCAACTTTTTCTTTACCAATATCTCTCAATTCTACCATAATTTTGGAGTCAAAATGCACGGTAAGACTTTTACCCTTAGCCAATATAATAAAGTTGTCTTTAATTTTACAGGCAGTTGTACTTATACTTGATTTTTTCTGCCTCAAAATACTTCGGTTAGAAATAGAAAAATCATCTGTTGTTCCAGAACTGTTATTTATAAGAGAAGCAAGAGTTGTACTCAGTGCAGTCAAACTTATTCCATATTGTGATGCTGTTGGAGCTAAATCTTTTCCTATATTTTTAGGAACTATAAAAGGAACAGCATTAGATTTTTTAATTTTTATAGAAGGCTGTAGATACTGTTCATCTTGGTCATTATCTAAAATATCTAAATTTTTCATTGTGTCATCAAATTTCTCAGTAACCAACTCTTTCTGTTTTCTTATGGACTCTTTTATACTTTGATTTTTTTTTTTCATTTCTCTTTTTCTTTTCTTTTTTACAATATTTTGTGAAATTTTATCTTTACCCAACATTTTCTGAACACGCGCTCTTTTCTGGTTGTTAAGAAAATCTACATCCTCTCTTCTAGTTTTTAAATCTTTAGTTTTATCTTTCATAATAGTATGTTCACAATTGTTTTGACTTACAGCGAATACTTCCTCTAGCATTCTTGAAAAAGTTTCTCTTTTTAAAACTAAATTTTTACTTAAACGGTTCCTGTGTTTGTTTAAATCTTTTCTCTTCTTTTCTAAGTCAACAATCTTGTCTCTAAAACAAAAGTAAAAGAATGCATTAAAACTGTTGTAATTTATTATAAATATATAAAATGTTATGACTTTATAATTGTTACTTGTATAATATCAATTTTAAACTGGATAAAACTAAAAATTAAAAAGCATTTTAATATAATAAAAACCTGATATGCTTGTCAGTATTAACAAAAGGAATTCCTGCTTTTTGCCAAATTTTCTTCACCTCGTAAAGGACGCATGGTAAACATTTTTGGAGACAACCACCTATTTCAGCACATTGTGCAGTAAAGAAATCACCAAGTGGACATGAAGCTATACTAACAGATGAAATGTTTGAAAAATCAGCATAAGATCTCTGTAATGGTAATATTGCAATACAGTTGGCAATTGTGTGATAGGTATTGTTCCGATTCTTTTTCTAACAAGAAAAACTTCTTGTTGGAAAAAGATTCCGATTCTTTTTCCAACAAGAAAAACGATAAGATTTTTTACCATAACCATTGCTTGTTGACATTGTTTTTATTTACACTTAAATGAAAATTTTAAAAATTACGGATTTTTTTTAACTGTACCCCTCTTCCCCTAACTCCCAAATATACACAGCATGTCTTTAAATGGGTAGAGTTGACCATTTCATTTCATTTTTTGCAATAAAACAAAATATAATCTTAAATAAGATTTATCAGGCTACAAAAATAACCTTAAAGA